AGCGTATGAAAGCTGAATTCGAAACCTTCAAGGATGAATATCTTTCCGTGATTCCCGAGTTAATAGCTTACCCACCAGAATTTTCACGAGGCCATAGGTGGTAAACGAGGGTGCGAGAACGCTGAATATGAATGGGCAAGGCTGAGGGTGATCAATGGGGCATTACCCTAAAATTTCAGCCTCCTAGACTCCGTGGAGATATTAACTTACCCGTAAAAAACATTCACAGGGCCGTACGCGTTACCCGCGGGTACGGGGAAGCCGAATTTAAATTTGCGGGGTCACACGTGGGTGGGGGGCGTTACCCTAAATTTTCAGCTTCCTAGCATTTGTGGTTCCCGAGTTGAAAGTTGCGGACAAGTTGCTGCGGACAAACACACACACAGACAACCCCGTAACAATATGCGTTTTGTACTGCTGTTACACAGCACAAGACGCATAAAAATAGCGATACGCACCAGGGTAACTTGATCGACCAGGCGTTTTGTGTAGTGTCGTCCAGGGAACGTTTGTCTGTTACGGATTTTCACTGCTTTGCATTTTAGTCTGCGTAAAAAAAATTGAAATATTGCTCTGGTTCCTAAGCTGCGGAACTTCTCACTAAAAATTTCACGCAATGATAAGTGAAAGTTGAATTTGAATCCTCAAACGGTAAATATCGTTCCAAAATTTCAACCACTTAATTTCCTGGCTCTCCAGTGATTTTTGCAACAAACTTTCACGTGGTCGTACGTGAAAACTCGGCATATTTAGGAATTGAATTCGAGTTTGTGAAGCCTCTAGTTAGGCAAGAAACACCTTCCTGAAATTTTCAACCTCTTAGCACCCAGGGATGCATGAGGGATGATTCCGAATTTAGGAAGTCGCACGCTGGTAAGGGAGATCATTATAAAATTTCAGATCCCCAATTTCCGTGGTTCCCAAGATAATAATTTCCCCGCCAAAATTTTCGTGAGGTCATACTTGTTATTCTCGCGCAAGGGGACGGCTGAATTTGAATTTTCTGGATTGTAGTGGACAGGGGATACACCCGTAAAATTTCAGCTTCTTAGCTTCCGTGGTTCCCGAAATAATAACTTTCTCCACAAGAACTTTTACAGGGCCGTCCGCGTTACCCACGAGCACGGTAAATCTGAATATAAATTTGCAAGATTAAACGTGGGCGACGGACAATCCCTTAAGTTTTCATCTTTCCTAGTCTTGTTTGCGAGTTGAAAGTTGCGGACAAGATGCATCGGGCACACACACATACATACGCACATTTATGGGTATATCCCCTGTCCACTACAACCCAGAAAATTTAAGTTCAGCCATCCCCTGTACGCCGGTAACAAGTACAACCTCATGAAAATCTTGGCGGGAGAATTATTATCTCGGGAACCACGGAAATTGAAAATCTGAAATTTTAGGATGATGTCCCTTCTCAGAGTACGACCACACACACAGACAACTCCGTGACAAGCACAAAACGCATAAAAAAGGGAAAAGATATGGAACCTACAGAACTAAGAAGTGCGTTCTGATACGCACTCAATACATATGTTTATATTTGTAATGTATAATTCCCGTTAGTATTATCAGGTTTCTAATTGCGACAGTTACAATAATGATGGATTTATGAGCGTAAATGACGAAGGTGAAAATTCTTAAAAGTCCTTCACCTTCACTGGATTTCAGTTATTTCTTTTCATTTCGCTTTTTTCTTTATATTAGTATTTCACCTTTCCTCTCATATATTTTTAATCAAACTATAACTATCGTATAGACAAGGTTCAGTTGTGGTACTGGGAAGAAATGCACATGTTTTCACAGATCAAGATGCAAACGGAACAAATGAGTGCGCGCCAGGAAAAGTTAGAACGTCTTGAAACAATGAACGGCATTATTTCCCTACTATTAATTGAAAAGAGTTGGACGCATTAGTAGCAATAACGATAAAATATTACAATTTTTATAGGGAAATTGGGGAAGGGATTATACCAAAGACGTTGAAAGTTCTGTGAAAGAAATAGTGTTCATTTTTTATGTGAAAGTTAGGACCATAAAACTAGGAAAGAATGTCTCTGCTGCACGGTGTACGTAAATTTCAGAAGGATAAGTCTGGCAACAAAGAGCTCAATGTTAAAATCCAATAGTTCGATGAACCAGCGTTTTTTTCAAAGCAAATATTTTTTGACAGACCTGGAAATCGTCAACGATTAACAGAAACTGCGTAAGGAAGAAAAGTGCCGATACGGGAGTTAAAACGGCAGCAGTCTGTCGAACTCTTAAACCGCCGAGCGATGCCAGATATAATGGTGCAAGCAATCGTTCAAAAATCACTTCAATAAACATAGCAGATAACTGCTCATCCTGAAACGTTTGAGCATAACAACGACTTTAGCTTGGATTTCAGTGCCAACACAATGTTTGGCTTAGATTCCAGCAATTACAAGGAATAAATGGAGTAGCCGCGAATCGTAATCCGATTCTCTTAACAATACAGTAAGCAAATTTTTTCAGCTGTTTTGATCAGTACTGCATAATACGGAAACAATGTAGCCAGCTAGTAATCTTTACATTCGCTTCTTCTTCTGAAGGGATGGACAAAAGGCTATAAAAATTTGAGATGTTCTTTCAAGTATCACTATCTAAACGCGAGAGACGCAGCTCCTGAACAACTAAGAGGTTACTTTACCGACTAGAAGTAATAAAGCCAATGACTGACCTAAAAAATAAGCAAACGTCTTTTCGCAGAAATCAGTGTTTAGAGCAAATAAAGTAAAACCTTAATAAGTAGAACATCGTTGAGGTAATGTATATAATCAAGGTAATCATCAATCATAACATCAAGCCGTTCACGATTACTCGATTCGTTTTCAGCCGATCGAGCAAAATGATCGATTTCAATGGACTGCTTGGCAATCTGATCCACTAAAGCGCAGAAGTATGCCCGGGAACGCGCACACACAAATCGTCGCATGGCCTCATCCTCCACTGAAATGATACGTCCCACGCTCCGTTTTTTTTTAATCTAAGGGTTTTTTCAAAAAAAAAAAAAAAAAATTAATGCGTGCTAGCTTGCAAGGCAACTAAAGCACGGCAGATTGTTACGACTCGTCAGAGTGGATACATGATCTCTTGAGTTCCAGCAACACCGCAAGCGCAACCAGTCCAGAACCCTGCTTTCTATGTGCCTTACCCAATGCATAAGTAAATTCTTCAAAGACGATCTGATTTAGTTGTATTTTCGGTGCTGTGCTATTACCGAAAATAGGGGGTCTCAGTTGCACCCGGCTTTTTAAACTTATCTTAACCTAGCTGGTGAGACTGTACTAATGCCAAGTGGCGCATTTCCCAAAGCACCAGAATTCACTGCCAGGAAAAACATTCCCTCGAAGAACCGTTTCGATTGTATCTGCCAAATTGAACTGGGACATTCTAGCGGAAATGCCTTGAAGGAAAAACGGGAGCCGTTAACCGCACGTCAGAAGGATATTGATTGTAATGGGAAGCACTATCACTCGGATCCCTTACCAGTGCCCCAGCTTTTCACAAAATGCAAAATACGAGAAGGGTTCTGTTCCCGATTTTGCACCACGCATTATTTACGGTATTGTATGATTTACGACAGTCATACCTTTGTATATATTGAGCGTCGTAGTTCGC